ATTTGGGGGTGATAAGTAGGTTCACTATTGATCGTGATGATGGTTTTATAGGTGTTTATGTATGTCAAAAATTGATCGTGATGATGGTTTTATAGGTGTTTATGTATGTCAAAAATTCATCAAATTTTACTGCCTAAAATACGTGCTGTTTATCATGTTAGTTATACTCCAATAAAACTATGAAAAAAGAGATGTAGAGAATGATTTTAAACTCCAATAAAGAAAAACAACCCAAACTACATTTATTCTACTTAAAAAATGTAAAAAAAAATATTTTTTAAGTGCAAGTTTGTACAGTTAGATGGAACAAAGTGATGTGAGTTTTTAACCAATAAAGCAGAGCTCATTAAACCTGGAGAACCTCAAAGAACCACCCCAAAGCTGCCCACTCCTGAAATATTAGCAAATTCTGAACCCTCTGCAGGCGAATGTATTCTCCCAATGAGTAGTTAGGATGCCACCATATTTTCTGGTGTATGCTTCAAACACTTTTGAAAATCTAACTTCTTTATATTTTATTATTTTCTTCTGATGATCTGGGCAGAGGATATTAATAATTGCATATTTGATGAACCAAAATCAAACTAACATGAACAACCGAGGATTGTACTCATGAAAATCACAGTCAGAAACTACTTACTTGGCTCTGAAAAATCTTCTCATTTAAAGGAAATTGTCTTAGCTTACCTGTTTTTGTCAGAGGGTGGTTGACTAGTTGCCGAATTACACTATTTTCTGATGATCTCAAAAGTAGCACAATATCAGTTGGAAGAGAGTCTCTATTTTTAGCTAAGAACCCAGTTGCATTATAGAGGACCTGTTGATAAATTATGCTATCATTATTACAATGAATATCACCATGAATTATCATCATCATTGTCATCATCATCATCATTATCATCATTAATATATTGACTGAGAGCTTACTCTGTGCTAAGTGACAGGTATACAAAGATTTATAAAGGTAGCCCCTTACGACTTGGTTGGAAAAGCAAACCTCTCCAGGTTTACAGTAAATTTTGTCATAAAATAATTTGTGTCTCACAGATTTTATCTGGGTTGAAATGATAAAAGAAGTTTGATTCCTCCCATTTATTATGTTGGAAATTTGGTGTTTCCTTTCTCTATTTGGAGGGTTGGGAGTAACATAGAGGAAGCACACTGGGGCCACCCAGACATTCTCATTTCTATGACAACTGATTCACCGCAGTAGATTGGCCATTATAGATTTTTGTCTTAGTAGTACTGTGGTCTAAGTACACAGTGCGTGTTTATGTTTCTGGCACTTCTAAATAACTAAGGCTTTCTAAAGATCAGTATAAACCAAAGATTTCTGCAGGATGATTCAATATGGTTATGGACTGAATTGTGTCCTTCCATACTTAGTATGTTGAATCCTAATCTCTAATGTGACTATGTTTGGAGATAAGGTCGTTATGGATGTATTTAAGGTTAAATGAGGTCATAAGGGTAGGGTCCTAATCCGATAGGGCTAATGTCTTTATAAGAAGAGAAAGACACACCAGAGATCTCTCTCTCTCTCTCTACCCCTCCATGTACACAGAGGAAAGGGATATGACAATACAGCAAGAAGGCAGGCCTGTCTGTAAACCAGGAAGAGAGGCTTCACAGACACCAACCCTACTGGAACCTTGGTCTTGAACTTTTAGTCTCCAGAACTGTAAAAATAAATGTCTGTTGGTTAAGCCTGCCTGTGGTATTTTTGTTATGTCAGCCCAAGCAGAATAAAACATTTATTAAAAACTGGATAAAACGACCATAGGCAATTCTTAATGGATGTTTTAAAGGAGGTTTCTTTGGAAAATCACATGCTAAAAATCATGAAAAAGGCTATAACTATAAATAGTTAGGGTACATTTTTTTTCAATGACAAAAATCTGTGGAATATTGAAGTTTGTGGAATATATTTCTAGTAAACTAGAACGTTCAAGATTCTGCATTATTTTATTTGATGTACTTCTAATTCATCGCATTCTTTCATGATTTTGGTATATCTTCTTAGTCCTCCAACATTTATAACGTCATTGTGAGGGAATGACCCGTTATCTTCTACAGAAGGGAAGGAAAGTATCCTCTGGGCTCTGAGCTTTGCTCTGGTGTGGGAATGGGTATCTGTCAACACGTAAACACTTCTTTGTCTAAATGCATAACAGTCCATTAACCAATTCCATCTATCTAGGTTAGCTCAGTTATCTGACCATATCTCCAGCCTGGTACCTCCTCTTGTTGGGAGGGAAGAGAGTCAAAGGCTGTAGTGGAGAGAGAAGCACCTAAGGTTTGAAAAAGGCAGTGTAGAGTAAAGGTTCCCAGCTACCATTAAAAGAAGAAAAAAGTAAGGGCCCATTGCCGGCCCATCTCACCCAAAGCCGGATGTCAAGATCAGAAGCTTGTCTCTTTCTTTTCTTGTTTTCCCTTAGTGTCTTAATAAAAATTCCTTTAGAATAACTATCACTTTTTGTTTGTTGAACTAAGAAAATGATTTTTTTTTTTTTTTTACCTGTTCAAGACAGATGTTAGAAGTGGATGTCTTGGAATAGAAACGGTTGACAAATGACAGGACAGATTGCAGGATGTTGGAGAGCAGAGTCAGGTAGGGCCAGACAGGGGCAGAAATGAATAGCTATCTCATTGTAATCATCTACAAATATTTTGGGCCATAATTTTCATGTTGATCTTTACCCTTATTATTCGATGAAAGACTAAAGAGAAACTCAGTTATAGTTCTTCAAAGTTCTTACCTTTCCTGCAAAATGGTGAATTCCAAAACTAAGTTCCATTCTTTTGGGCCTCCAGAAGTACTGTGATTTTAGGTTACTTTCAAATTTTTCTATAGAAAAAAAAAATTGAACTCCAATATCAAGCATGTAGGAGATCCTCAACAAATATTGACAGAATCATTTCTTTCACCATAAAATGGACAACATGCAGTCAAAAAAGAAAATTTTACATAATTAATATAAGCAGATTTGAAATATAATTATATATGGCAAAGGAAAACTCAAGATCATGAATTTTACCATTCCGTTATGATTTAGAGCAGTGGCTCTCAAACCTTAGCAAGCACTCTGTAGGGCCTATTAAAACACAGATTGCAGGATCCTGCTCCCAAGGTTTCTGACTCAGTAGGTCCGGAATGGGGTCCAAGAAGTTACACTGCTAGCAAGTTCTCAGGTGATGCTGATGTTCCCGGTTTGGAGACCACATTTTGAGAGGGAGGGAATGATTGGAGACTGACTAATCAGAGGTTCATGAAACACAGTCTGAAGTGAAGCCATGGGCCTAGAAATTGGGTGTTTTCTCTCTTCTCTATTAGAGGAACTATATTGTTGATTACATAAGAAACACGTTAAGATCATAAAGGCAGTTACTTTTTATGCCTTGTCTGAGAAGGAATGTTTAACATTAAAATCAAGTGACTGCTGTGAAGTGATTTCCCCCACAATCTTGAGGTTCTTTTTTTCCCCATTAGTATTGCCCAGTTACAGGAGAAAATCAATCAATCAGTGAGTCAGAAGGAAGCAACACCACTGATTGAATGGTAAGTAACAGACTCTATATCACCAAAAATAAATGAGAAAGTGAATCTAAATTTTCTGCAGGTTATTGATGGTACACAATGAATACCTCCTCCCACCAGGGAATATGGTGTTCCATAAAAAATGATTTTTTCAGATAGCCGAAATATGTTTTTTTTTTTTTTTAATTTAAGGAGCAGGAAATTTATTTTAACATTTATTTTAGATGATAATCTTTTAAATATAGTATACACATCTCTGCCTTCTCAAACAGAAAATCAATATGTTTAACATTTCTTTGATGACTCAGGATTATTATCACGAACATTTATTAAAGTACTGTAACTCAGAGATTATTAAGGTATTTGAGGCTATTTGCCTCTAATAGACAAATGACTAGAATGTCACAGATGAATTTATTTCTTCCCCATAAGCTAATTCTTTCCAAATACTTGAGCTATCCTTTTGCCCTGCCTTCCAATCTCTAATTTTGTGCTGGATAATTTCTAAGGACATTTCTGACACAAGATCTTATGGTTGGGGCTCTATTGTAAGGGAAAGGCCAACATCTAAATCTGTTTAACTTGTCACTAAATATTTCACCCTATGATAAACATTCACTGGTCCAGGTATTAGATCCAAAGCCTCTTCTTTAAAGTCAGGCAGGCTTTGTGACAGCTATTTTCTCCCAAATAATTAAAAATATTTTTTAATCATTCAGAATTACATGACTGTATCAGAAAATGATAGATATACTGGATGTAAGACTCACCTATGAGAGTCTGGTCAGTAGCCTTGGGAAATCTACTTTCTTCATCGAGTAGGGAGAGTAAACCCATTGGCTTCTGCAGAAACATGTCTAGGAGGGGCCTGTTATCTTCATATTCAATAACTCTGGCATCGACATCTTCATTTACATATTCATTCTGTAATGGGACATGATACATACAGAAAAATTCACTTTAAAAATTTGCTTGATTAATGGTAACTATATGTAAATAAAATTATTAAAAGAAAAAAATTCACCTAAAATTTTGTGAATATGTAGCTTTACAGTAATGACCTAAAATTCTACTTTACATGTATTATAATAAATTTTACCCTCTGACCTTGATCTGACACTGAAGGTGTCATTATATTTTTCTCTCCCTAGAAGTGCTAGTCCATTAAAGTCAACAAACACTGATTCTACTCAGGGCAGTAATGAAAAGTTTCTAGTCTCTATATTAGAATTACAGATTTCAAAATGCAAGAGAATGTGCTGTTAATAAGTAGTAATAAAATTATGCTCCAGAACTTATAGAACATTAATTAGGTATATCTTAGGTTACACTTCTCCCCATTTAAGCTTTTATCTAGGTCCAGTGATGAATCTTTCACAAACATTAACTTTTTGGTCATGATAACATTTACAGTTAGTAGAGGGACAGCTGGGAGTCACAGGAACACCAGTGGATTAAGAACTCAGAACTCAAAGGTTCATATGGGCTCTCCCACTTAACTAGCCATATAAGCCTTTGAAATTCTCATACTCTAGAAACTTCCATTTCCCATGTGCTCAATGGAGGTTACACTCTTCATCTAACAAAGTAAAAAGATCTGGTACATTGATAATCAACTGCTTTTGAGTATAAGATGCATAAGATAAAATCGATGAACAATAATCCCTGTATGATCATGATACCAGCACAACATGGGTGCTGATGATTTATCTTACAAAAGGGACATGAAGAATTATGCAAATATTTGTTTCTATGACTTTACCTTCATACTGTGTCCCTATTCCAGTGCCGCAGGCTCTAAGGACACGCATGACCTCTGAACGATGACTTGTAGCGATGCTTACATGTAGGGTACTTCCTATTCTCAGGTGAGATAGAAACTATTACTGGGGAAATGTGTCAGGTAACCACCGACTTGGGCAGTGTCCTGCCTGATTCACAAATTAAAATTATTCCAGGCTATTTTCATTTATGTATTTTATTTCAATATAGTTTATCATATTCTTTAATTCATTAAGTGTGTTTGTTAAACACCTTATAATAGGCACTGTGATGGGTGATAAAGAGATATTTAAGACAAACTCCCTGACTTCAGTGGATTTAAAATATAACTTGAGTGATAAGTTTAGTAAATAACTATTCAAAATGCAAGGTTAAGGTGTGACAGATAAATGCTATGCACCATTTAGTGAGATAATCATGCTAAGAGAAATAAGCCAGACAGAAATAGTTGAAAACCACATGATATCACTTATATGTGGGATATAAACCTAAAAGCAACAAATGAACAGGACAAACAGAGACTCATGGACTAGTGGTTACCAGAGGGTAGGGGAGAAGTAGATGGGGTAAAGGGGGGTCAAATATGTGGTGACAGAAAGAAATCTAACTATGGGAGGTGAACACACAGTGTAAATATATATATATATGCCTTACTGTTAAAGTGTATAGTGGAAACTTATTGAATTTCATTAACCACTGTCATCATAAAAAAAAAAAAATGCTATGCACCACGTATAACGAGAGTTCAGAGAAAGAGAATTTACTTCTGGCAACTTCATGGAGGAATGTAGCCAATGGTAGGTGGGGCATTTGATAAGTGAAAGTTTTAATCACTACTTTTGGAGCCTTATGAAATTGAAATCTCATTTCAAAGGTGTCAGCAGAAACGATATATGTATATTTTTAAATAAAACAAAATCTGATACATAAAAATGAGGCAGGACCTACTGGTCTAAAAGGTACATCGCCTGAAAGACATTTAGTTTATCTAGTATAAAAAAACATGGAAACGATGTCTTGAAGTTCCACAGCTTTGTCCTTTGAAGGTAACCTTGGGAGAAGTACGTAGACCTAGAATTACTTTACTATTAGACACATTATTCTGACAGCGTGTTGTAGCTTAATGGCAACTGCAAAGTTCAAAGGAGGTTTTGTATGTTTTATATAGAAAGCACACGAGGTTAAGGTCTAAATCAATGCATTTGTCATTTCTCTTTGGCAGTGTCAAAATCCACTGAACGCTTTTGTGGCAGGTCACGCAGAACAGAGATGAGTAACTTAGAAAACAATGAGATCTCTTTTAAGATACTTGCGAGTATTATGGACTTCAGGGAAACCAATGGAGAAAAAGATGCTATTACTCAGGATTTCTAAAGCATTTTTAGTAAAATGGCCATGACTAAAACAATGTTATATATTTTATAGCAGTGATGATCTCAAAATGCTTAGTTGTTATTAAGCATATGCAGAGAAATGAGCTCACATAACTCTTCAGAAAGTCCTCTGCTATGCCTATATATTAAAAATACATTTAAAGCAGATCAGTAGAGTTATAAACTGCAGTAAAGCTGAGCTGTTTAGCATATATAATCCCTACTCTGTTCAGATGGCCTGAATTCTCTTTTCAAAAAAGATGAATGATCATTTTGAGTGTATATGAAGAAGGCAATGGAAATCATAAGACCTGGACACGAGAAAACCTCACGGCGGAGGCAAATTCTCCCTTGTTTTTCACTGAATTTTGAGTGTGGGTTATTAAAGGACACAGTGGCAAGAAAGCCTGTGGGAGGGGCACCTCCACACCTGTGGCTTAGACAGCAAGCTTAAACATCTAGGGCCAAAGTGTCACCCCAGGAGAGAGTTCAGATGACTAAATTGAGTCCTCAGAGTCACATGGCAGCATGGAAAGGTGGTCACCACAGGCTGAGAGAGGCTTCAAGCTTCCACAGCAGATGGAAAATTAAACACAGATTGCTCAGCACAAGTTAATATCACAACATTTAGGTCTCCCATCTGCAGAGACCTTCCCTCATCTCCCAGACTGAATCGGCAACCCCTGTCCCTAACCAATCACTCTCTATTCCACCCAACCACGTGTATCTCTTTTATTTTTAAGGTTTAGTCCATTTTAAAAAATGGTTCTACTCATTTCAAGTCATGGGAGGAAGAATGAATGGGATTTCTGTCAAAAGAGGGTATTTGAAATTCACCTCATTGTGTGGTGGGCACGTCTGTTTAGGTCATTGTAGAAGATGTCACACACTGAAAGTCTTCAAATATTTGAGGCACACCTACTACGTGCATGTTTCGAGGTAGATGGGGCTTAGGAAAGTAGAAGTAAAGATGAAAAAGGCAGCGTCCCTGCTGTGCTCTCTCTGCCTTTCCATTCCAACCTGGAAGGAACAGCCTAGGAGTTCATTGCTTTTGTGTATTCTCTTTTCTAGTCATCCCATCGTCTGGTACTGTACTCTCCTGTTAGGCGGTCTCTGGTCGCTCCAGTTGCTATGGGTCTGTCACCACCCACATCTGCCTAGTGCTACTCTTCTCTCTAGTTTCCTTCTTTCCTGCCTGATGTTGATTCTCCTTGGCTTTTCAGATGAAAACACTGTCTCTCTCTTTCTTTCTTTTCCTCTCTCCCATCCTCTCTTGTTCCTCCCTTCTTTCCTTTCTGTTAAATAGAAGGAGCACCCTTTCCTTCTGCATGAGAGATTACTTTGTTTCTTCTCAACTTTGCTTATTTGTCTGTTCATAGAAGACAGGATAGGTATCGCAAGACCTGGATTCTGGTTCTGGCTTTGTCTGAGCAGCCTGTAGCCTTGGGCAGGTTTCTTCCGGTTCTAACATTTCAAAATGCCAAAACTGCCTGAAGGTGTTGTAAAACTTAATGAATAAATGTTCCATTGACAGAATATTTACAAAGGGAAAGAAGCCACAGAAACATATTGAGTCCCTGAAGTCTGTCTTTTAGTGAAAGAACTCCTACTCTCCAACTGCTCATATGAGTATATACATTTGTAGAAACATTTCTCGCAGTGGAAAGAAACCATTGAGAAGTTACTCATGCTAACCATTGACAAAAATCCTTTTCATCCTAAGAGGATGATTGTAAAGGCTGAAAATCTAGGATTTAGGGGTGAATTGAACATGTTTATTATAGTGAAAAAAAGAAACTTATGCCACTTTTTCTTTTGAAATAATTTGAAACAAATAAAAACTGCAATAGTACAAAGAACTCCCATGTTCCCTTTACCCAAATTTCCCAATTGCTAACATTTTCCCACATTTGCTTTATCATTTCTTTCTCTATAGACATATTATTTCTAGTAATAACATTATACTGAAGTAATTATTTTAAAAAGCTAAAAATGAAGAAAACTAAGTGGTAATATGCATGTGGTAAAACTCTGAACTCGATGTCAAGTAAAATTCATGATTTGAAATCTTTCTTCCTGTGTTTCTATTCAAAGCTGATCCCAGTGATCCTGTTGGTCTGTGGGAATATTGATCTTCCCTCACCTGAGATGACACAGGACATCGGTTCAGAATTTGATAAGTGACAATGAGAAAGTATTTCGTATAATTCCTAATAAAATGTACATGTTTTATTTCACATATATTAAATGAACTTTGGAGGAATTTTAAATAGTGCTCCCTAGAACAGCTTCTTTTTTCAGAAAAAGTTATATAATGCATGTTAAGATGAAAGTTCTAATTTTGTGTATATAGCTACTCTCGAAAACTCTCTAAAAGCCATAAAGGAGTTTACAAATTTATATTCCTTTGACAGGTATTGGCTTAGGAGGCATTTTAGTTAGGAATTCAGAAATCTAATTCTCCATATACCAATATCTCTTTCATGTCATGTTTAAATCTTTACCAAAAAAATGTTATTTCAGTCTGTCAATAGAATGCTCTAACCTCACATATAGAAAACTCCAGTGATTGTATGGATCTATGCTCCTAATTGTATATCTCATTGAAAATTATTATTTATTACAATTAAAAGATTTTAAAAAATGTTATCAAATTATCAAATGAGTACCACAAATTCCCACATCACATTCAGGGTGCTGATCCAAGTTCAGCGATGAAAGAGAAACAGATTGCGCAGCGAGGGATGAGGGGAGAGGCACAGGAGAAGG